ATTGAGTTTGCGAGATATAAGGAAAATATTTGGTTTGATGTCTCGACGATAGACATTGGTCAAATTGTCCTTGGTCTCCCTTGGTTAGTTGACAATGACGTTCATATTTATGGAATGTCAAATACCTGCATGTTTGAACATGATGGTAAGAAGATTAAACTATTACCTTACTAACCCAAGTCTTCTAAAGAAGAGCTTAAACCCACTCTATCAAACTAAGCAAGGGGCTCAACATCCTAAATGCAAAAGAGTTGGATTCTGAAGTGATTCATGGGTCACCCATGTACGCCTTGGTAGCTCATGAGGTGATACCTAAAGCAGAGGAACCAATCCCTGAACATGTCAAACCTCTCCTTGAAACTTTCACTGATGTGTTCCCTGATGATTTACCCAATCATCTCCCACTTTTGAGGGACATTCAACACACTATTGACCTAGTACCGGAAGCATCCCTACCCAGCGCTACTCAATATCATATGAATCCGGAAGAGCATGCTGAGCTTAAAAGGCAAGTTGATGATTTACTCCAACATGGATTCATTAAGGAGATTCTAAGCCCATGCGCAGTGTCAGTACTATTGACTCCCAAGAAAGATGGTATGTAGAGGATGTGTGTTGATAGCTGCGCTATAAACAAAATCACGATGAAATACCATTTTCCCATTCCCCACTTTCATGATATGCTAGATATAATGATGATGGGAGCCACTCTAGTTTCAAAAATTAACCTCAAGAATGGTTACCAACAAATCAGGATCCATTTAGGTGATGAATGGAAGACTACATTCAAGACCAAAAATGGTTTATATGAATGGATGGTCATGCCTTTTGGCCTTAGCAATGCACCTAGCACATTCATGAGGATCATTACTCAAGTCCTCCATCCCTTCCTAGGAAAATTTGTGATAGATTACTTTGATGATATTCTGATCTAAAGACATTCGGTTGGACAACATTTAAAACACATGAAACAAGTTGTGAGATCCCGAGAAAAGAACAATTGTACGCAAATCCAAAGAAATGTATGTTCCTCACGGATAGTGTGTCCTTCCTAGGATTTATTGTATCGTCTCAAGGAATATCCGCTGATCCTAAAAAAGTGCGTGCAATTAACGAGTGGCATGAGCCTAAGAATATTAGATATGTTTGGAGTTTTCACGGATTGACCACATTCTATCGATGTTTATTAGAAATTTTAGCACCACAGTCACCCCAATAACTGATTGTTTGAAGAAGGGCAATTTTCATTGGACCATACCCGCTCTTTTAAGGCAAGAAGAGAATGGTAGATGCCCCTTTCATGTGTCTATCTGATTTTTCTAACTTTTGGCGCATATAGCGTAGGTATTGGTGGGGTCCTTTCCCAAGAAGGAAATTTCATGGCCTACTTAAGCGAGAAATTGAATGATATTAGACAACGACACTCCATGTATGATAAGGAATTTTATGCCATCATTTAATCTCTTTGCTCCCACAAGAGTTTGTTATTTTCTTTGATCATGAGACCTTGCGTTATATAAACTCTCAAAAGAAACTCAACGCCTGACATGGCCGTTGGGTCGAGTTTTTCCAAGAGTATACATGTACGATCAGACACAAAGCAAGTTTAGAAAATAAAGCGACAGACGCATTAAGTCGTCTTATGATGATAACTCAAAAAATTTAGGCCGAAGTAATTGGGTTTGAGTGTATTAAGGATGATTATAAGGATTGCCTTGACTTTAAGTAAACATATTCCCTTCTGATGACTGGGGGTGAATGAATAGTTAATTACTTTTTTCTTGAAGACGGGTATCTATTAAAATCCCAGAAGCTCTGCATCCCTAGCACTTCCCTACGGGAATTCCTTATGTGGGAATTATACGCGAGAGGTCTAGCCGGGCATTTTGGCCAAACAAAAACCATTGGCTGTGGAACATTATTTTTACTGGCCTAGCCTTAAACGTGATGTTAGTAAGCGGGTTAAAATGTGCCATACTTGTCATCTGGCCAAAAAAAAAAAAACACGGGTCTCTACAAACCCCTCCTTGTCCCCAATTGCTTGTGGCAAGACGTAAGCATGGATATTGTTCTGTGGCTACCAAAAATATTTAGAAAACATGACTCTATCTGCATTGTGGTTGACCGTTTCTCCAAGATGGTCAATTTACTTCCTTGTTCCAAAACTCTTGATGCTTCTCGAATATCCAAACTATATTTTGATAAGATTGTTAGATTCCATGGCTTGCCTAAAACCATAGTGTTTGATCGGAATGTCAAATTTACTAGTTATTTTTGGAAGACCTTATGGTATAAGATGGGAACCAAACTCTAATTTTCCACCGCCTTTCATCCACAAACTAATGGGCAAACATAGGTCGTTAATAGGAGCTTAGACAACCTCTTAAGAACTTTGGTAGGTAAACACGCTCAAGATTGAGACTGCAAACTCCCGATGGCTGAATTCACATAGAGAAACTCTATTAATCAGACCATGGGCCTAAGCCTTATTAAAATTGTGTACAGGTACCTACCTAGGAAACTTATAGACTTGATTCCTATATGTCCTAGGATTAGAATATCTGAGTCTGCATTTGCATTTGCATCGCATCTCCATGAATTGCATGAGGAAATTAATAAAAGGAATGAACAACACAATGCGAGGTTATAAACTTAATGCGGATCTTAATAAACGATTTAAAGAATTCAAGGTTAGAGATTTTGTAATGGTATGGATTCATCTGGAATGATTTCTGCATGGAACCATTAAAAAGTTACATGCTTATAAGTGTGGGACCTTTTAAAATAATAACAAAGATAAATAGTAATTCTTATGTGTTAGAACTACCTGAAAGTTTTGACATGAATCCTACATTTTAATATCGAAGATCTAGTAGCCTTTAAAGGACCATAGTTTAACTCCACAAACCCATTATATATTAAGCCTTTTGTGACCCCACCTGGTGAGAACCCTAGCCTACCTTCACTTCTAGATATTCCTTCCTTACCTAATGCAGAGAAAAATTGAAACAATACTTAATGATGAAGTCATTTCCAATAAGGATGGTGGGTGCCAGAGGTATTTAGTTCAATGGAAAAGAAAATCGATGATGGAGAACACATAGATTGATTTTGTTGAGCTACAGAGATTGGATCTTGACATTCTATAGATGTACAAGAGCACCTGTGATGCTTACTTGACGAGGTCGAGCTTTCTCCCACCTCGGGAGAATGATGAGGACATCAGCAGGAACTCTTGGCATGTCTATCACAACAAGAGTCGTAGATCAACAACTATGATTAGGAGCCTTTATTTATGATTTATTTCATGTATTTCATTTTCTTATTTCATGTTATGTTGAGAGTCTTTCCCATTTACCCTTAGGTTGGGTTATTTGTGTGTTGTAGCCCAAAGGACATTTTAGTCTTTTGAGTCTTCATGTTTTGTGGCCTATATATTGAGGCCCTAGGCTATTATATGGGGATGATGATTATTATGAATGAAACTTTAGTTTTTCTAAGTTATGTGTGTGTTTGAGTCTTCTTGAGATAAGAGTGAAGTCTCTAGGAGTAGGGCAAAGCAACACCCAACAACTGTCACCATGGAAAGGTTCTTGGCTTTATCCTATCTACTCTCTCACCCCAATCCTCCTTCCAAACAGCCCACCAAGCACTCCAACCTTCCAAATAGCCAACCGAATATTCTAGCCCTTTCCAATTAGCCAGCGAGCCTTCCCACCCTTCAAACAGCTGGCCGACCCCTTTTTTTCTCCTCCAAACATCTAATCGAGCCTCCCTTCCTCTTCCGAACAGTCGACCAAACTCCTTGTTGCTTTCCCTTGGTCGGCCAGCCTTCCCCATTGCCTCTTGGTATTCCCTACATCTTTTCCCCTTCCCAATCCTCATTAATTCCACTTAATTAAAGTTTTTCCCATTCCCATAACTGCTGCCTTTTTCCCTTCCCGACCCTTATTAACTCCATTTAATTAAAGCCTTTCCTATTCTCTGGTTGCCACCTTTCCCCCTTCCCAGTCCTCATTAACTATACTTATTTAAAGCCATTCTCATTCCCATAGCTGCTGCTTTTTCCCCTTTCGTACCCCCATTAATCTCACCTATTGTTGTTCACTCTCCTCTCCATTCATTTCCAAAGCCATTGCCCTCTCTCACACGCTTATTTATGTCCAAGTAGCCGCCCCTTTTTTCCCTTCCTCCATGGATGGCTGATCCCAATTTGGATCATAGCTTCGTCTTTCATAATCAAGGCTTAGTGTATGTGCTCCATTCTCCTTTCTTCGACATTGACATTAGGAACGACCATACCATCAAGGAATACGTGGATCAGATTCTCTTCTCCCTTGCAATCGTCATCGACCAGCGTTGACCTCCCGTTCAGTGGCAGCTCTCCCACTGTTCACCTTTCACTTCTTTCCTGGGTAAGTCTTCCTTGAACAAAACTTTAAGTGCTTGCTTTTTCTTCGTGCCATCATTAATATTATGTCAAGTTTTCTCCTGCTGAAATTCCTAAAAAGTGTGAGTGATGGAATTTCATTGTGATTGTTCTAGTTGTTAATTGTGGGAATTCTATTTGTTGCAAATAGGCATTTAGTGTCTTTGTTGTTATTTTATTATTCTCTATTTGTAATCGCATGCTATTGCTTGATCACTAACTAAGAAAATCCTAAAATCAGCTCTTGCGAGACGTTAATTTTATAATTGGTAAGCTTGTCAATCTCTTATTAATCCCAAACAATTCATGCATCTTATATATGCTTCACATTACTCTAATTCTCCAAAATTAAATCATTGTGAAATTTGCAACAGTGACAACAAGATGTAGCATCAATTGTATTTTTTATGCATTAATCTTTCTTTCTGCTTTGTTCTTTTTTGTTCTTGGCGTAAGCGTTGGGTTTTGCCTATTGCCCACCATAACTTACATTTGTTCTTTATTTTCTTGAATCTGATTTGTTTCAAATTTCAAGATTTACTCTTGATATAATTTATTTCATTGCCTTCAGTGATGGAAAAATATTCGGCCATATCCCATATAGGCAATCAAAACTGACACGCATACTTCAGCTCTCTCTCGAAGGAAATGCCAGGACTGCTATCATTTGTACTATGAGTCCTGCACTTAGCCATGTAGAGCAATCTCGTAGCACACTTTCCTTTGCTTCTTGTGCAAAAAAAATTACAAATTCTGCACAAGTTAATATGGTAAGTTCATAATACAAATTTATGTTCTTCAATATCATTCTCTTATCCTATTTATATGGTATCTTTGGTAGATTTTTTGCTCATGACTCTTTTTCTTTTTTATCAGATTGTATCTGATAAACAATTGGTCAGACAACTACAGAAAGAGGTTGCTAAACTTGAAGCAGAACTGAATACGCCAGGTCCTTACGCTTCTTCAAACACGGATGTAATTCTGCTAGAGAAAGAAATGCAAATTAAGAAGGTAGAAGGAATGAAAATGACATTCTCCAAGCTTCTAGTTTGGTTGTCTTTGCATGGTATTTTCTTAATTAATACATGGGATAAGTTTCTATTCTTTAAATTTCACACACAAATGATTTTTCTTTGCCCTATTTATGGCCACTTCATGTTGTCATTAGTATAGGTTTCACCATAATGTTGATGAAAAAAGATTTTATAAGGAAAATACAAGGCTCTCTTTTATTGTGCTTCTTTATGATATTTCCTCAATACAAACCCTTATAAAGACTCGTTTTTTTTAATAAAAAATTAAGGAAACTGATAATACAAGTAAATCGATCAGTATACTAAGTCTTCATAAGATGCATTAATTAGATTTCATAACTTCACATTTTTTTCAGTTGTTGTTTTCTATTTTTTTGACAGATGGAAATGGAAATGGAAAAACTCAAGCAAGAAAGGGACATTGCAAAGGCCAAACTAGATGAACTTCGACGGAAGATGGAACAAGATAAACTTGTGAGCAAACTCCTGTCATATTTCTTCTTCATCATCTTCTTTCTCATATTGATCAATGTTATTTCATTGCCTTTCTCTCTCTAAGGGGCTTGTCCCATTTGAATCCTTACCTCGTCGAGTGGCTAAGTGTCTCACCTTTTCTGGCCAATCAAGAAACCCATTAAGGAAGTCATCTACTGTGCCATCCATGCTTGTAAATGAAATCCGAAAGCTTGAGCAATTGCAAGTTTTACTTGGAGAAGAGGCAAACAAAGCTTTGGAGGTTCTACAGAAAGAGGTGGCTTGCCATAGGCATGGTAACCAAGATGCTGCACAGACCATTGCTAAGCTTCAAGCTGAAATAAAAGAGGTGAGAGCTGTTAGATCTCTAACAACAGAGGCCTATGCTAGAAATGTGGTAAAATACAATGAGGTTGGCACAAACCTTAAGGATGAGATTACTAGACTTCACTCTCAAGGAAAAACCATTGCCAATCTGGAGGAACAGCTAGAAAATGTTCAGAAATCCTTAGATAAGCTGATTATGTCTCTTCCTAGCTACACTCTTTCTACAAATACTGCTCCAAAATCATCCAAGACTTTTAATAAGGGCATGATGGTTCCTCTAACGTCAACTGGCAATGTGAACATTCCACATTTTATAAGACCCCCCTGCTCTCCTCTGTCATCTTCTTCTAGAATGGTGCTGGAGTCTGAGGTTGAAAACATGAACCCAGATGAGAATCATTCAAATTCTATGGTGGTTACTCCATCAAAGAGTGAAGATATTATGGATGTCTCGTCAAGGGAAGGAACACCAGGCTACCAACGGTCGAATTCTGTGAATATGAAGAAAATGCAGAATATGTTTCAAAATGCAATAGAAGAGAATGTAAGGAGCATAAAAGCTTATGTCACTGAACTGAAAGAAAGAGTTGCAAAGCTGCAGTACCAGAAGCAGCTTCTCGTATGTCAGGTTTATTCTCGATATCAAACATTTTCTATTATTATTCCTTGCATAAATAGGATTATAAATGAAATAAATCTAATTGATTATTACTTTATTTGAGTTCTTTCATTTATTTTCTTATCGATTTCTAGCTGTTTGTTCATGAACCAAGTTTTAAAATCTTATTTACTTGTTTCCTTATTGAGTTTGAATTGTAATAGAGCTTTAATTGGGTCTAATTAAATTAAATATATGTTTGATGTTAATAATTTAAACATATAATCTTATTACTAGACATATTTCTATTAATATATTTTAATCAAAATTTACATAAATTTTAATAATTTAAATTTTTATACAAATTTTTTCAAGTATGTGAATAAATGAATATAAATAAGTTTTATATGAACTAGTATCAAAGCTCATGAAGTGCACTAAGCGATGTAAAGCCAAATATATGAATGGTAAGCTGTTTTTTTGTCATTAGGTTTTGGAACTGGAGTCAAATGAAAATTCTGGTTACGAAGAGGCTTCAGAGACTGATGAGAATCTGAACGAGTTTCATAAATCCGTAGAAACTTGGAATTCTATTTTCCAGGAAAAGATGCAACAAATCATAAAATTATGGGATATTTGTCATGCATCTTTGATACATAGGACACAATTTTACTTACTATTCAAAGGAGATCAAGCTGACCAAATTTATGTTGAGGTGGAGCTAAGGAGGCTATGTTGGATGCAGAAAAAATTTGCATGTGCTGGAGATCCTTACAATGAACATTCAGGAGATGAACTCTCTCTTTCTCTATCATCCAAGTAAGATGAGATTTGAAGTAGAATAATATAATTTCCTTTATCAAACTACTAACCAAACTGCTTCTCTAATTGTAGCATAAAGGCATTGAGACAAGAAAGAGAGTTTCTCTCTAAAAGAATGAATTCAAGATTGAGAGAAGAAGAAAGAGAGAGGCTGTACAGCAAATGGAAAGTGCCATTGGTTGGGAAGCAAAGGAAGCTTCAGTTGGTGAACAAACTATGGACAGATCCTAATGACAAGACACATATTGAAGAGAGTGCAGATATTGTGGCCAGGTTAGTAGGATTTTGTGAAGGTGGAAATGTAGCTAAAGAGATGTTTGAACTAAACTTTGCCTTGCCAGAGAACAAGAAGCCATGGCTTCTTGGTTGGCAACCCATTTCAGATTTTCTAGGACTTTAATTGGGAGTTGGTTGAATTGTTTCTTTTGTTTTTCTGTTATATATTCATTCATCAGGCATTAATCAGTCTAGGATTCCATTCCACAAGGTTTTGATGTGTCATAGGAAAGGGAATTGCAAGGCACTTACGTGGTTGATAGGAATGTGATAGAAAGGTAGATGTTATGAAAAGATATAATGCTTGTTTTTCTCTGAAACAATGATTGTTTATGTTTGGCTCATATATATTACATGAGATCTTGTAGCAAATGAGTCGAACATGAAAGAAAGTTTGATTTTTTCTTATGTTCATCGAAAGCTTGATATATGTAACGAACATGATGCTTAAAGTTCATTTTCTTCTAGGTGACAAAGAAAGTTTTATGTTCCAAAAAGATTTAAGATTTGTTATATTTGAAACGATGATTGTTTTTGCTTGTAGCAAGATGGCATATCCTGGAGAACTCATGCTCACCATGTAGATAACTACACTTCAAGGTGATAATAATAAGTCTTTCTTCATAAGTTGTTGAGTCCAAGTTTAATATAGAATTCTTCGGCAAAATAGTAACTATGATATTTGGTGGACTCTAGCCTAAAAAATAATTGATTGCTTATGCCAATATGCTTATGTTCAAACATCATAGCATTACATAACAATAGGTTGCACCTCCACGTCAATGACTATTCTTCAATGGCCATAATGAATCTTAGGATCTTTGGTACTAGATAGTGGTGAAGTTTGAAAAATTTAATTTATCAAGATTAGAAAACCACTCTGATAAGCTCAAGAAGGTTAAAGCCTCGGGTCCCGAAGAGGTGAGCTTGACTCTACATTTTTCTCCACTGATGATAAAAGAAAATAGGTGGCTTACAACGTAGATAAAGGCAAACAGCCGATACAATATGAATATAAGCCAAAATTGGTCTATAACCCTAATCCCCAACCAAGGTTGATATTCGGGAGAAATGATAAGCCGTGAAGATTTCATGGTGGAGGAGAATGCCCGTGGAAAACAATGGGAACTGGTGATCGAACGTTTCCATCCCTCAAGAAAAAATGAATAAAGAATATTCATTTAAGCAGGAGAGTGTTGCCAAGTTGTTTCGGTAAGCATTCAAAACAAGCCTAGAACTACTAGAGTGCAAGAGGCCCGAGGAGTTGAAACATACGTGTGACTCAAATTATTGCCCATACCATCGGGTAATCAGCCATCATATTAAAGATTTATACATATTCAAGGATTGGCTAAAAAGAAAGTATTAGGGGGGGGGGGGGGGGGGGGGGGGGGGGGGGGGGGGGGGGGGTAGCTCACATTATCAGATAATGTGTTGGCTTACCTCAAAAAAGAATCGACTCGGGTGGTTACGTCCTCTTCTAAACCCCCAGTTGAAGAAAGAAGAAATGAAAGAAGTTAGCTCAAGAAGAGCTATGGGAGACTGCAGTCTCCAACAAAACTGTAAAGTTGTTGAAACAACTTGAAGGAGTTCTAAGTATGAAATGGAAATCTTCTACAAAGCCAATGTTGAATGTAAAGAGGTTGCCCATCATGGCTACATCTACATCCAAACAGTGTTCTAAGCAAGCTGGATCCTTAAAGTCTTGAAATGTGAAATCCTCCAAAAAGAAAACCAAACTAAAGAAGCCCAAGGAGAAAAAAGACAACAATGCAAATGGTTATCGACAGTTTAGATGAATATTACCAGACTATGAGGCGAGGTGGCTGAAGCAGAAGAAGCTGATGGAGATTCACTTTCTATGGAAACTTGCGGGGTCATTTCAGTGATGCTAATGATTCCAACAAAAGAAGAATATGTCGAAGAAAAAACTTCTGAATCCTTAATGATGGTGTCTCCAATGGACTACAATTTAGAAGAGGATCTATATTTTCCATTTGAAGGTGAAATAGATCCTGACATAGCATCACAAATATAGCATGTAAATTTGGTTGGTGACTTTGAATCGATAAATGAACTTTTAGACGCAACGATGACCAACTCCAAAGAAAATGCTCCATCAAACGAGTCTTAATTAGATGAAGTGGCCTAGGTGAAGTTGAGAAGTGACAAGATACTGTTGTATCCACCAAAGAAGGAGTTTTCCAACAAAGACAAGGGAAATGAGATAGTTGTCAATGAGGACATTATCCCCAAGGACCTTAAGAAGAAAAAACACTTCAAATACGTGGATAGATTATAACATCTTATCACATCTGAGAAAGATACCCATGCAACTTAGCTTATATGACTCTCTCATAATGTTCAAAGACCTTTAGAAGACTTTGATTTAGGCTTTCAAAACCTTGAAAGATACGAGGCATATTTTGTTGAGCATAACATGATGGAGGTTCTATAAGCCCGGAGTGAACCGATCATGACCTTCACTGAAGATGGAATGATGCTCAAAACGACAAATCACAACCACACTTTGTACGTCATTGTAGAGAACTGTTTGAATAGTTGCTATTTGAATGAGTTATATTTATGCAACTTATGTAGTTTTGATGATTCCAAACATTATTGTTCAAATGTATAGTTATCAAATCTTAATCCCATCATGGGTCCTCAATAAATCTCATTAAGTATGACAACACTTAGATTATTGTGCCTCAATGTTCAGCATCTTGGACAAGATAAGATAATGATGCACGACTTCAATGAGAAAGGGCAGAAGACCATAGGATCATTCGTACTCTCCCTTGTACTTATGGAATTGTACACTGAAGCTAAATTCATATGATTGATGTAGGAACATCATTCAAGGAGCTTCTAGGTCCCCATGGTTGGATGAGTATGACATATCTCATCAACATTACACCAATATATTTAAATACCTTAAGGATGGAGAAGAGCCCAGGATCTTTGGCGACATCCAGCTATTTACAATCCATAAAGTAAAATTTATGAAGATGCCAAGTGCTTCATTACTAACGAGCCAAAGCTATCAAGTTCTCTAGAAGCCAAATCATCGAATTCAAAGGATGTAAAGCATCCCATATAAGAAGATGAAAAGAAATAAGTGGGGAGAAAGAAGACAACACTGACTCTTCCCAAAGAAGCCACTGCACCTAAGCAAAAAAAAAGTTGTACCTCACCTAGGAAGTGACATAGATGAGGAAGATGTCACCCCTTCCAAATTGAAGAAGATTTGCTAGTCAACGATCAAAGAAAAAAATAAGGTGGAATATTTAAATTATGATTACGACTATGAGTCTACCTACACTAGCGAGGTGCAGTGTCTTTTCTCAAGAAGAATGGGTAGCTTGTCAATCTCAAACAACATATCGTGGTCACACATCTTCTCCCGCGACACTTTATAGAAATCTCTCATCGAGAGGTGCATAATGTTAAAGAGCTAAAAAAACACTTTATATGCATAAGAACACTTTATGTGCATCCTCTTAGCAAAGGGACCAGGCCAAGAAGCCTAATCTATAAAGTTGGAGAGTTTGAAGAGGAAAATTATAACTAGCTTGTCAAACTTATTGATTATGGGGAGATGAAGCCTGTAAGGATACTTAGATATTGCTCCAAAGGTGTATGAAAAACGCTACAAAAATAAGCTAATGTTAGCACCATCAGATAATAATCTTGTCTCCACTTAAATATTTGGTATAAAAAAAATCTCCATGCATTGTGAAGAAAGGACCTTCTCGTAAGAAGAGGGCTCAGATTCGTTATGCAGAAATACCCATGAAAGGAGATTTTGCCAGGAGATTCTATGTGGGAAAGTCAAATCTGTTGACAATGGCGATGAGATCTCGCGAAAGTTGACACTTATAATGACCAGCTTGTAGAAGCCAAACATGCACTAGAAAATCTTGAAGATGATGGAAAGGTAGGTATTATGGACGAGCTAAAAGAAGTCAACTTAGGGATTGAAGAAGAGCCTCACCTAACCTTCATCAATGTCCTTCCTGAAGTGCAAGTGGAGGAAATAAAGGAGATTTTTTAATTTAGGGATTTCTTTGCCTTGATATATGTTGAGATGCCCAGCTTATCCTTTGTTATAGTAGTTCATAGATTAGCTATTAAATCAGATGTAACATTCGTCAAATAAGCTCCAAGAAGAATTAGATTGGAGATTAAAGAACATGTGATTGCAAAAATAAAGAAGCTTATAGAAGTGAGCTTCATCCGCAAAAAGAGAAATATACTGATTGGATCACCAATTTTATTCCTGTCAAGAAAAAGAATGACTGGATTCGTATTTATATCAACTTTTGAGGCCTTAAGAAGGTGTATCCTAAAGATGACTTTTAGCTCCTAGTATCTAAACTCTTAGTGGACAACACGTCTAACTATTATATGGTATCCTTTATGGTTGGATCATCGGGCTATAATTAGATCAAGATGACGCCTGAAGATGAAAAGTATATGTCATTTAGAATGCCCATCCGCCTATTGTACTACACGGTCATGCCCTTTGGCTTGAAAATTATTGATGCCACCTACCATCGGGCGATGACATGCATCTTCGATGAGATGATTCATCATAAGGTCGAGTGTTATATAGATGACCTTATCATCAAAAGCATGGACCAGAAAGACCATTTAAGTGACATGAGGACCGTATTTGAGATAATCAAAGAGTTTGATCTAAAGTTGAACCCTCTCAAATACTCGTTCGGGGTCTCCTTAGAGAAATTTCTGGGGTATGTCATTTGACATCAAGGCATCATAATCAGCCCCAACAAGATCAAAGAGATCATGAAGATGCTGCTTCTCAAGAACCTTTGACAACTTCACTCATTATAATGACACTGGATTTTATTCGATGATTCATATCGAATTTGTTAGGTAGGTGCAAACCATTCTTGAATTTGTTAGGTAGGTGCCAACCATTCCCGTTGAACAAATCACACATGTTGAAAAAAATGAGAAATTATAAGTCTGGGAGATGTATTTCGATGGAGTGTTATTGATTAAACCTTCATAGTCTCCAAATATGGAAAAAGCTTGAGCTATCATCAGTCTCATTTTTATAGTGCCTCCTATTCCTACAGACTCTCTATTCAACGATGATTCCTACAGACTCTCTATTCAACGATGATTTGTCAGATGGACAAATCACGCAAGTTGAGGAAAGGGATAAATTATTAGTTTGAGAGATGTATTTTGATTGAGCATCATTGATTAAATCTATCCGCTCTCCAAATATGGCAAAAGCTCGAGCTGGCATCAGTCTCTTTTTATAGTGCTTTAAGGAGGCATAATGAGATTTTCGTTCAGTTTGATTGAATCCTAAATTAATAATGAAGCTTAATACAAGGCTATAATAATAAGTCTAGAGATTATAATCTCAGTCAGAATCCAA